TGTTTCCAATTGAAACATGACGAATAACTTAGACTTATTATATGGCAGAGTTGAATTATACTTGCATATAATAGAGTTGAACTAAGTTGGCGATGTTTCCAATTGAAACATGACGAATAACTTAGACTTATTATATGGCAGAGTTGAATTATACTTGCATATAATAGAGTTGAACTAAGTTGGCGATGTTTCCAATTGAAACATGACGAATAACTTAGACTTATTATATGGCAGAGTTGAATTATACTTGCATATAATAGAGTTGAACTAAGTTGGCGATGTTTCCAATTGAAACATGACGAATAACTTAGACTTATTATATGGCAGAGTTGAATTATACTTGCATATAATAGAGTTGAACTAAGTTGGCGATGTTTCCAATTGAAACATGACGAATAACTTAGACTTATTATATGGCAGAGTTGAATTATACTTGCATATAATAGAGTTGAACTAAGTTGGCGATGTTTCCAATTGAAACATGACGAATAACTTAGACTTATTATATGGCAGAGTTGAATTATACTTGCATATAATAGAGTTGAACTAAGTTGGCGATGTTTCCAATTGAAACATGACGAATAACTTAGACTTATTATATGGCAGAGTTGAATTATACTTGCATATAATAGAGTTGAACTAAGTTGGCGATGTTTCCAATTGAAACATGACGAATAACTTAGACTTATTATATGGCAGAGTTGAATTATACTTGCATATAATAGAGTTGAACTAAGTTGGCGATGTTTCCAATTGAAACATGACGAATAACTTAGACTTATTATATGGCAGAGTTGAATTATACTTGCATATAATAGAGTTGAACTAAGTTGGCGATGTTTCCAATTGAAACATGACGAATAACTTAGACTTATTATATGGCAGAGTTGAATTATACTTGCATATAATAGAGTTGAACTAAGTTGGCGATGTTTCCAATTGAAACATGACGAATAACTTAGACTTATTATATGGCAGAGTTGAATTATACTTGCATATAATAGAGTTGAACTAAGTTGGCGATGTTTCCAATTGAAACATGACGAATAACTTAGACTTATTATATGGCAGAGTTGAATTATACTTGCATATAATAGAGTTGAACTAAGTTGGCGATGTTTCCAATTGAAACATGACGAATAACTTAGACTTATTATATGGCAGAGTTGAATTATACTTGCATATAATAGAGTTGAACTAAGTTGGCGATGTTTCCAATTGAAACATGACGAATAACTTAGACTTATTATATGGCAGAGTTGAATTATACTTGCATATAATAGAGTTGAACTAAGTTGGCGATGTTTCCAATTGAAACATGACGAATAACTTAGACTTATTATATGGCAGAGTTGAATTATACTTGCATATAATAGAGTTGAACTAAGTTGGCGATGTTTCCAATTGAAACATGACGAATAACTTAGACTTATTATATGGCAGAGTTGAATTATACTTGCATATAATAGAGTTGAACTAAGTTGGCGATGTTTCCAATTGAAACATGACGAATAACTTAGACTTATTATATGGCAGAGTTGAATTATACTTGCATATAATAGAGTTGAACTAAGTTGGCGATGTTTCCAATTGAAACATGACGAATAACTTAGACTTATTATATGGCAGAGTTGAATTATACTTGCATATAATAGAGTTGAACTAAGTTGGCGATGTTTCCAATTGAAACATGACGAATAACTTAGACTTATTATATGGCAGAGTTGAATTATACTTGCATATAATAGAGTTGAACTAAGTTGGCGATGTTTCCAATTGAAACATGACGAATAACTTAGACTTATTATATGGCAGAGTTGAATTATACTTGCATATAATAGAGTTGAACTAAGTTGGCGATGTTTCCAATTGAAACATGACGAATAACTTAGACTTATTATATGGCAGAGTTGAATTATACTTGCATATAATAGAGTTGAACTAAGTTGGCGATGTTTCCAATTGAAACATGACGAATAACTTAGACTTATTATATGGCAGAGTTGAATTATACTTGCATATAATAGAGTTGAACTAAGTTGGCGATGTTTCCAATTGAAACATGACGAATAACTTAGACTTATTATATGGCAGAGTTGAATTATACTTGCATATAATAGAGTTGAACTAAGTTGGCGATGTTTCCAATTGAAACATGACGAATAACTTAGACTTATTATATGGCAGAGTTGAATTATACTTGCATATAATAGAGTTGAACTAAGTTGGCGATGTTTCCAATTGAAACATGACGAATAACTTAGACTTATTATATGGCAGAGTTGAATTATACTTGCATATAATAGAGTTGAACTAAGTTGGCGATGTTTCCAATTGAAACATGACGAATAACTTAGACTTATTATATGGCAGAGTTGAATTATACTTGCATATAATAGAGTTGAACTAAGTTGGCGATGTTTCCAATTGAAACATGACGAATAACTTAGACTTATTATATGGCAGAGTTGAATTATACTTGCATATAATAGAGTTGAACTAAGTTGGCGATGTTTCCAATTGAAACATGACGAATAACTTAGACTTATTATATGGCAGAGTTGAATTATACTTGCATATAATAGAGTTGAACTAAGTTGGCGATGTTTCCAATTGAAACATGACGAATAACTTAGACTTATTATATGGCAGAGTTGAATTATACTTGCATATAATAGAGTTGAACTAAGTTGGCGATGTTTCCAATTGAAACATGACGAATAACTTAGACTTATTATATGGCAGAGTTGAATTATACTTGCATATAATAGAGTTGAACTAAGTTGGCGATGTTTCCAATTGAAACATGACGAATAACTTAGACTTATTATATGGCAGAGTTGAATTATACTTGCATATAATAGAGTTGAACTAAGTTGGCGATGTTTCCAATTGAAACATGACGAATAACTTAGACTTATTATATGGCAGAGTTGAATTATACTTGCATATAATAGAGTTGAACTAAGTTGGCGATGTTTCCAATTGAAACATGACGAATAACTTAGACTTATTATATGGCAGAGTTGAATTATACTTGCATATAATAGAGTTGAACTAAGTTGGCGATGTTTCCAATTGAAACATGACGAATAACTTAGACTTATTATATGGCAGAGTTGAATTATACTTGCATATAATAGAGTTGAACTAAGTTGGCGATGTTTCCAATTGAAACATGACGAATAACTTAGACTTATTATATGGCAGAGTTGAATTATACTTGCATATAATAGAGTTGAACTAAGTTGGCGATGTTTCCAATTGAAACATGACGAATAACTTAGACTTATTATATGGCAGAGTTGAATTATACTTGCATATAATAGAGTTGAACTAAGTTGGCGATGTTTCCAATTGAAACATGACGAATAACTTAGACTTATTATATGGCAGAGTTGAATTATACTTGCATATAATAGAGTTGAACTAAGTTGGCGATGTTTCCAATTGAAACATGACGAATAACTTAGACTTATTATATGGCAGAGTTGAATTATACTTGCATATAATAGAGTTGAACTAAGTTGGCGATGTTTCCAATTGAAACATGACGAATAACTTAGACTTATTATATGGCAGAGTTGAATTATACTTGCATATAATAGAGTTGAACTAAGTTGGCGATGTTTCCAATTGAAACATGACGAATAACTTAGACTTATTATATGGCAGAGTTGAATTATACTTGCATATAATAGAGTTGAACTAAGTTGGCGATGTTTCCAATTGAAACATGACGAATAACTTAGACTTATTATATGGCAGAGTTGAATTATACTTGCATATAATAGAGTTGAACTAAGTTGGCGATGTTTCCAATTGAAACATGACGAATAACTTAGACTTATTATATGGCAGAGTTGAATTATACTTGCATATAATAGAGTTGAACTAAGTTGGCGATGTTTCCAATTGAAACATGACGAATAACTTAGACTTATTATATGGCAGAGTTGAATTATACTTGCATATAATAGAGTTGAACTAAGTTGGCGATGTTTCCAATTGAAACATGACGAATAACTTAGACTTATTATATGGCAGAGTTGAATTATACTTGCATATAATAGAGTTGAACTAAGTTGGCGATGTTTCCAATTGAAACATGACGAATAACTTAGACTTATTATATGGCAGAGTTGAATTATACTTGCATATAATAGAGTTGAACTAAGTTGGCGATGTTTCCAATTGAAACATGACGAATAACTTAGACTTATTATATGGCAGAGTTGAATTATACTTGCATATAATAGAGTTGAACTAAGTTGGCGATGTTTCCAATTGAAACATGACGAATAACTTAGACTTATTATATGGCAGAGTTGAATTATACTTGCATATAATAGAGTTGAACTAAGTTGGCGATGTTTCCAATTGAAACATGACGAATAACTTAGACTTATTATATGGCAGAGTTGAATTATACTTGCATATAATAGAGTTGAACTAAGTTGGCGATGTTTCCAATTGAAACATGACGAATAACTTAGACTTATTATATGGCAGAGTTGAATTATACTTGCATATAATAGAGTTGAACTAAGTTGGCGATGTTTCCAATTGAAACATGACGAATAACTTAGACTTATTATATGGCAGAGTTGAATTATACTTGCATATAATAGAGTTGAACTAAGTTGGCGATGTTTCCAATTGAAACATGACGAATAACTTAGACTTATTATATGGCAGAGTTGAATTATACTTGCATATAATAGAGTTGAACTAAGTTGGCGATGTTTCCAATTGAAACATGACGAATAACTTAGACTTATTATATGGCAGAGTTGAATTATACTTGCATATAATAGAGTTGAACTAAGTTGGCGATGTTTCCAATTGAAACATGACGAATAACTTAGACTTATTATATGGCAGAGTTGAATTATACTTGCATATAATAGAGTTGAACTAAGTTGGCGATGTTTCCAATTGAAACATGACGAATAACTAAAAGCACACAAATATGCACAATTTGTACATATAAATTTGAGAGCTACTGAAGTGGTCCTTATTTATCATAAAGTCGGTGGTAAATGAAATGCAACCACAAATAGTATCATGCTGAACACAAAAAAAATATCAGCTTAGAATTCGAGAGACCTTGAAATAGAAAGTTTAGTCAGGGAACTCACCAGAACGGGCTCTTTGGCTCTTCCTTTTTCTAACTGATGGGAACCAGTGATGCTGTGTGTGTGTTGCTTCCGATAAGTCCTTCTAGCGGATCCCGATACTTCATGTGATTCTGAAGACTTAGCCACTTGATCTGTTGCTTTTGGTTGTGAAGGACCAAGTTTATCTCGGCTATCATTGGACAACGACGTCCTAGATGCTACTAAACCGGATAATGTTGACAAGTCAGCTCTAGTTGAAATAACATTCATATCATCGTATTTCTTCCCAGCTTTTGTCCATCCAACCCCTGGAGCCAAGGGCCCCGAATGTGAAACCCTCTTAGTATTATGATCCATTCGATCTTTACCCACCACTTCTTTTGCAGCTTGTGAATGTCTAGGTGGATCAATAGGAAAACCAGAAGCAGCTTCCTCCTGATAATGGTTCAAAAGTTCACTACGGCTCTTTGAATGGGAGTTGCCTCGTCTTCCCTATAGTTTTCGATACAAAAATATTTTATTTTCATGAAATACAAAAAATTTAAAAAATAAAGAACTAGGAAATAGACGTTGAAGTGATAATAACTTGTCATGAAGGAAAAGGAAGAGACGAGTCACTGATAAGAATGCTAAAATACCTAAAGAGTCTGATAATCTCATAAGTTTAACAACAAACTAGTGGTGTCAAATATAATGAGTATCTATGTAGCCAAATATTAAGTTATATGTATACGTAAAAAAATTAAATACAGGACAACATTGTCCAACATTTTTCCTGCGGCATCACAACTGAGCAACTTGAAATTCCAAACATTGTCCCACAGCTCAAAAAGATAACACATGTTCAAAACTGCTGATCCATAAAGGAACATCAACATTGCCGAAACAATTACCAATGCAAGAAGTAATAGTATCAGAAACAGTAATAGTTGAGGGCAATACCCAATTTGGAACAGGTGTTAGTAATTCAATTTCTTTAAATCATGGAACAAGTCACAACACTCAGAATACCTAAAATCAGTTGCATTTGATGAATGAACAAGATCTACAAGTTCAAGTGGCTTTGGTCAATGGGGGCAACTTTCAACAAGGTATAATAAGCTCTAGAACATACCATACATCAAAAGAAAGTAAATGAGAGGATCAAACTCATGATCGTGAATAAACACATGAATCATTAAAAAAAAAAAAACAAAAAAACAATGCCCAATTAGTACACATTAATGTGTATTTGGGAGGAGAAAAATTGAGTACACACCTAACCTTTGGCATAGTGCACAGAGTTATTGCTCCATGACTTGAACCTACAACCTCAAGGCTATTAGGCTAAAGTTTTACCATTGAACCAATGGTCACCCCCTATCATAAACGATAGACATATCCAAAAAATTGGGGATACAACCATTCAAGTTTCTAAAATTAATTGAGGTCAATTTAATGGAAAAAATATCATGGCCATACACGTCAAGGCAATGCTACAACTACACTCATATTCATAATGGCGCACATATTATGGTGTCAAGTTGGCTTTCCCAGTCATGTACTAATTAACAAAGTCGCTCCAAAATGCTAACTTCTTCTAATGAAATTGAATCTCTTCAACAACTGGTCAATAAATTATTGACAACAGAAAAGCAATAAGCTAAGGGGAATAAGCCTGCTAGACAAATCCTCCGAAGAGAAAACAAAGCCTTCATGGCATAGTTGTCAAATTGGAATTCGAATCGTGACCAAATATCAGAAATATTTAACAACAATGTTGATATTTAAACAATAAGCATATATACTTTTTCAAGTAACAATGACCAAATATCATAATTATTTAGGATCTTTTATTTTAAAAGCTTAAAACATTTTAAAAAGTATAATTAACATCACCCATATAATATTCAACTATACTTAATTTAATAAAATAGTAAATAGGTAATTCATGGCGTAAGTTACTTTAATCTTAAAGCAAATATATTCTGATTTTTTAAGGGAAAAAAAAATGAGAAGAAAGGTTAAAAACATGTTAGATTCGACTGAATCTGATTGGATCTTATTAAAAACTACATGATCACTAAAATGACAACAAATCATATATATATATATGTGTGTGTGTGTGTGTGTATTGGTTATTTTGGTACTAAACACTATTAGAGGTTGTATTAAGTCATTTTCATGACAAAGATGAAGCAAAAAATAGTTGAAAGTATGTCAAACACAATAGTTTGAAGAATTGCATAAATCGTAAAAAGTGAATCTAATCGTGAATAATCGTGCGATTCACTAAAGATTCACTTCTAAAATAGATTCACCCATAGATTCATATCGATTTTGCAAAAATTGCGAATCGAATCATAAATTGAATCGCGAATCGTAAGATTCTGATAACAAAGCTTGATGGTTTGTTGAGAAGCTTAACTCATGAGTTCAATCACAGCATAAACTTGCTTGATGAACATATCAAGTCAAAGGTAGCCGTTCCTTCAGCATACCATACGTGGTACTAAACATCAAAACCTTGCCTTTAATCTAAACCACCTCTTCTTTTACCATGTTCAATTATTTTAGGGTTATAGGCCTTCTTACCTTTTAAATTTCTTTCTTTCTAATCAAAAGGTTTTGAAGCAATTCTTAATGACTCTTTCACAAGCATGTTTGCCTCATGAGTCGTGATCCATACAAGTATATGTGCCAAGTGATTGTAGTATTTCTGTTTTCTGTGCAGTGATCCTCAAAAAGACCAAGTTGAAATTCTTATGTGTTTTACATAAATCCATCAATGCAATACAATTTCCAAGAAATGTTGATGTGTAAGTAGTTTTGCTTTGAATTCAACCAGGAAGAAAATCGATGCCGAAGAAAAGAGGGGATGCAAAGAAAACTTGTTTAAGGTACCTGCACTGATGTGACTAACTCAGTGTTAGCATTATGCACTGGAATTACCTGAGGAAGTTTTTGTCCTCCAGTTTCCAGGTTAACCCTCTGGCTCCTGGCTCCTCCTGCTTCTCGCCTGTGAAATTCAATGAAAACAGGTTAACGTTAAGAAACACCACCCTAAATAGCAAGTAAGACTCTTTTCATGCATCTAAACATGGAAGAATAATTGCATATTGTTATAAAATGCTCAATAAAAAAATAAAAATAAAAATCACTCGTGTGAAACCAAAGAAACATTAACTAACCAAAATATCAAAAGGCCAACAAGCAAAAGATCCTTCAATCAACATCATCAACAAATTAAGCACAATGTTAGTTCGCATGATTTATACATCCAACTTGTTTGTTAAACAGATGTTCCCCCATTATTCATGCATATTGTCAACATTAATATCACAGCCACTCCAAATATATGCGTACATATTCTACCAATACATTGGACCATTTGACAGTCTGCTCGACTTTAATTCCTTTTATGCCCCAAATTATAGAACTTCATCAAGAAAACCAAATTTTCTTCTATAAATGAATTGTGTTATATCATGAATCAAGGTACTATATTTTCATCCATGTTGGCTTATCATACAAAATGACAATTTAACTAAAAACGCACCTTCTGGCTTCTTCCCGCAATTTCGCATCAATCTCTTTGCTGGGAGGATATTTTGGCAGACATGAAGGATCACAAGCAAGTGGTTTTGTGGTAAAATACTGTTACAGAAAAAATTCAATCAAAAAATCTCAGAAAAATCATACGACAACGAAAAAAAATTAATATGAAACAAGTATTCAAACACATCAGAGTTTAGTAGTGTGAAGATAATAAAGAAATCACCTTCCAATAAACATAAGACATTATCATAGCAGTAAATCCATTCTGGATGACGTAAAATGACAACTGAAGGTAAACACAGAAAAAAAAATAAATGGGAAAATTCGTAGGACAAGGGTCGTAAGTCCAGAGATGGTATAATTTTTCACTCCTTTATAAACTTTTCAATTTTTATGTGTATTATTATTATTATTTTCCTTTTTGTGTGTGATAGGCTCTGCATCCCCTTTATCCCATACCCAAACAAAAAAAAAAGTTCAAGAAGTTCAAAAAAATATAAAAGAGAAACTCTCAGGCTACCTCGACCATGTAATGGTAGTTTGAGAACATATTTGGATGTTAAGGATAGTTGAATTGCCTCCATTGCACATTTGTATAATTTTGTGAACACATGCATATTTGCAAATGGGGATTACATAAAAGGAACATCAAGCCGGTTGTAAATAGGCTTTCCTTATGCTTCCGTTTGATTCAGTAGATTGGGGAAAATAAATTCCAAGAAAAAGCTAAATTTTGGTTGATTGTTTTTCTCCTAGGTAATGTTTGGTTCAATGAAATGAAGTTGAATGGCGTGATCATTCCATCAAATTGTCCATTCCTATGTTTGGGTCACTAAAAAATAATGAAAAATACATTATAAATAGAATTGTCATTCACCATTGTAAGAGAATGATCATTCTATAAGAGAGCCTACAGAGTAATCATTCCATCTCATTCCAATCAACGCAATAGAGCATAAGTTCCAAAAATTTAACGGGGTAAAAAATTCCAGGAAAGCAGAAAAATATCAAAAAACAACATCCCAGATTTTGACCCCAAAGTTGTTTTACCTAAAAAGAATCTCTCTCTCTCTCTCTCTCACACACACACACACACATTGAACCCTCTGTATTTTTTCTTACAGGTTGTTTGAATGAATGATCAATGATGAATAACACGGATATTGAATAATGATAAATATAATTATCAAACTTTTCTTTAATTTTTTATTTATTTATTTATTTTTCTTTTCCTTCTATTCTTTTCTGTTTTAAATACTCCCGCACAATATTAAACCCACCCACAAATAATGGAAGGACTATTCTTTCGTGTTACATGTGATCTTTATTCTTTACACTTTGTGCTTATCCAAACAACATCTAGGCATAAAATTATAGTTCTGTTTGCAATCAGTATCAAACAAGTGGCAAATCAGGGAAAATAAAATTATTATTTTTAGTGTTGAAAACTTTCCTAGAAGGGTGAGAAAAAAAAATCCAGAATTTTATTATCCAGTGAAACAAATAGAGCCCAAGAAACACCTACCTCACTAATGCATGAAGAAACTCCTATTGGGAAGTCTCTTCCAGAGACCTCTATTACCAGAGTTCTTTACCAATTAGAACAAATAAAAATTCTAAAGGGCGTACCAGTGCACGAAACTCCCGCTTAAGCGGAGTCTGAGGAAGAGTTGATATACGCAGCCTTACCCCCGCAAGCGGAGAGGCTGTTTCCGCAACTCGAACCCGTGACCACTAGGTCACCAAGGGGTAGCTTTACCGCTACGCCAGGCCCGCCCTTCAACAAATAAAAATTTTAATCTTTGAAAAGAATGTATTTTATGTTTTAAGGCCACAAACTCAGCATCAAAAGCACAAACATAAGTTTCCACAGTGCTCAATAGAAAAAATTAAATTACCTCATTTTTTAGAGCACTAGCTGCTGTTCCTCGATGTGCAGGATCTATTGATAGTAAGAGCTCTATAAGCCCCACAGCAGTGGGAGGAAAAGCTTTAAATGTCTCTACAAGACGTCGTTTATAAGGTTGTACAGGTTTGAACACCGTAGAACAAGGTAACTTTGATTTTCTCCAATAGTCCTCAGATGGTGAGCCACAAAGCTTGAAAATCTTATGCAGTTGCTCAACCTAGAATTTACAAGCATATAATTTATTCAGGGTCATGTTAAGAGAGAGGCAATATATGGATAAATACTTTTTAGAAAATGTACATATTTATTAAAAGAAGTTTTGGAATATATGTATGTATGTGAGTACAATGGGGAAAATGCAATATGCTTTGTGTAACAGTGGCTAATCACGACAAGAAAGGGATAAAACTGTTCACTTAAACTTCTCATTGTACCACAGAGAGAGGTGCACCTCTGACCATGAAAAATTGTCAGTGTTGCCTACACATCGACCTACAAAGATGCCATCCACACTATTATATAGAACTCCTCTTGATCTGTTTGGTCTGTTGTGGTATGTCAATTTCCAAAAGATTGCCCGTTGGCAATGTCAGAGCAGCTATATATTGTAATGTTCACTACTATATATATATATATATACATGGTAAGTTGGTAGCACTCTAAAAAGGACAGGACTATTTACAAGATTAACACAAGAAATCCAGTTATTGGCACATATCGAGACAGGATTATCATCAAGAGAGTTTTTTTTGAGGAAAAAACATTATCAGTGGACCCAACCACCAACTCTAACACTGGCAGAGAACACATGACTTCACATACTCTGGTTTACTCTGATATCTGGTACTGGAGTAAGATCAACGGAACCCATTAGTTAATAATGACAAGAAGTTCGCTTAGTGCAGATCTAAACTTCCACCAAAACATAATGAGGAGGTTGCACATCACCTTCAAATTCAAATTCAAATTCAAATTCATTTAGGTTTGAATTCATTTAGGTTATCTTTTCTGACAATTTCAAAAAAGAATGAAATGTTCCAAACTTGGGTTGTTTTCAATATCGAATTACCCAACTTCTTGAAAACAAAGAAAAGTATTGACAAAAATAATTTCCTGGAAACAGCCGATTTTTAGGAAATATCTTCAAAAAAAATTCCAAAAAGGGTCAACCAACAGCTTTTTCAACATTGTTTTTAAATTACGTTACTTCTTAAAAACCAAGGAAACTATTTAAATTAACTTATGGAAAACAGCCTATTTTCATGAAATTTCTTCAAACATAGTTTTCAGGAAGGGCCAGCCCAAGGCATTTTCTGCATCGTCCTTACTTTCTATGTTTACAGCCATTGGAAACTGTCTACAAAAATAATACCAAACAAGCCCTAATTGTCCCATTTTGTTATGTATATAATAAACAAAGCAGACACATTGAAAGTGCCCTGGGATGTTCAAACTCTCATATTTGTCACACACCTTCCACGTCAATACAGAAATCAATCATTTGGACAAGACCCGCTTTTTCAAAAAAAAAAAAATCTGTTTTTCTTGATCTTTCCATGCTATATTATGAATTACAGCAGACACTGATACTCCTTCAAGAATTTTACACAAATGAAAAGGAAAATATTAATAGACAGGCAGTAGTGGACATAAATCATCTTGCATGCCTTTGCAAAAATTAGATTCGAACTGTACCTCTGTTCTTCCAGGCATGATAGGCTTGCCAGCATATAGTTCTCCAAGTATGCAACCAGAACTCCATAAATCCACTGAAACTCCATAATGAGTTGCTCCAAGTAAAAGTTCTGGCGGACGATACCAGAGAGTCACAACACGGCTCGTCAATGGCATACTCTGATGATGATCATAAAAGCTTGCTAACCCAAAATCTGCAATCTTCAAGATGCCATGATTGTCTATTAGAAGGTTTGAACCCTTTATGTCACGATGCAGAACACCACGACTGTGACAATGATCAAGTCCACTTAGCAGTTGCTGCATATAACATTTAACCTGAAATAACAAAAAAATTGGAAATAGAATTAGTGCATCCAATTATCATACTATGTGACAGAATATCAAAACCAGAATACCACATTAAACAACATTATAAGCTAAAAAAATAATAATAATTAACTACCAACCTGTGGTTCAGAGAATTTGAAACTGGGTAGTGATGCAAGTCCCGTAAGATCATGTTCCATATACTCAAAAACAAGGTACAAGCTGCAAGAATTATGTGATGTGACCAAGCCTTCCAATTTAATTATATTTGGATGATCAAGTCTCCGCAAAATAACAATTTCCCTTGCCATAAACTTGATGCTCTCAGGATCCATACTATCAAACCTCACTTTTTTCAGAGCAACAATTTTCTTCTGAGTTCGATCACGAGCCTTGTATACACTGCTATAAGTTCCTTGGCCAATCTGCAAGAACAAAATGCCATCACACAAGAACAAAAACCAGGCATATGAGAATATCAACAATCATGGAGAACAAAAATCAAAGCAGACAAACAAGTCATCAAATAATAGGTACACATTTATTGGTACAAAGCATAACATGCGTTTCAAACAAAATAAACTAATTTCTCTTCTAAAACGACATTTGAAAAGTCATCAAATTATCAATAAGAAAAAGAAATTAGAGCAAATTACATTTTACCTCCTTCAACTATGTCACTTTACCCTCCTTAACGAAAAACTGCAACATTTTACCCCTTGATCTTCTAATTTGCTTCAATTTTAACCCTATGTTAACATTCTAATCTAACAGAGGATGCAAAAATCTATGTGAGTTGCACATACCAATTTGATGACCAAATTGCCTATTCAAGAGCTCATTATTAACATATATGTGAAATATATATATATATATATATATCTTAACCTCTCCTATTAAAAAATGCAAGAGAAAATATATGCACACGGAAATTGTATTGCCAGAAAGTTCACTATCAAAAAGATCTTAAAACCATTTTGATCTCAGAATCATTAAGTTAATTATTAAAGGCATTCAATTTTCAGAAGATTATAGGAAGCAATCACCAAGTGATATCATTGTCTCCACACTATACTACAAAATGAATGTAATCCAAACAATAATTCAGAGAAAAAGGAGCATACTTTATCTAACTTCTCGAAACTATCTGCTCGTCGTGGTACCCATCCCTTGATAGCTTCACCAGCCACCGCAGCAAGCCAAGAGGGCCAACCTGCCACAACCTGCTCCCCTTCTGTAGCTTTTGGAATGCTTCCTCTAGCTGGATGATAATTAGGAACAACAACTTCACAATTCTCTCTCTTCTTCTCAAAATGCTCATCCCTCACCTTCTTTGAGCCATTCAATTTCTTATGACTCAACCCACCTCTAATTTCACCACCATCCAGCCTTTCTTTCACCCGGAAACTCTCCTCTCTCTTCGAAGAAGTAATTCGAGGCACGTGTAACTCCGATGATGACCCTTTATTCAACTGTCTCTCTCTTGGGCTCTCTCTGCTATCTTCTATAGCAGAAGCCTTACCACAAATGCAACCCATGAATTTCAAACAAACACCCAACAAAAACAACCCTCCTTTACAAATACAAATAACCAATACTAACTAATCTTATCCAAAAACAAACCCACCATATCAAATTCCATTGAAGAAAACAATCAACTAAAAAAAAACCCAAGTTGAGAATTCAAACTCACTGTATAAACTATTCATGAACCAACCACTATATACTCTCACGCAGAACCTTAGGGCTTAATGTTATACAAACAATAACCCAGAATTCAATCTTTCCTCAATGATATATACACGGGTTGTACGACCAAAAAGACTCCAAACTTTCAAACACGGAGAGCAATCGATACGTAAATACCTCGAAGCTGAATCAAATTGAAATTGAATGAGATCAACTAAAAAAATATTCTTTGATTGAAGACTTTGGGCTTTGATCTTCAGTGCAGTTTCCGGGAAAAGCGAGAGAATTGAGGAACTTGGTTTTGAAGAAAGAATTGGTTTGTTGATTTTTTGACTGTTCAACGCGCTCATATATATGGGTATGCATTCACATAAATATAATAGTATAAATATCTATATATAAACGGCTTTTTGCCGGCAGGGCTCAGTCAAGAAATTGAAAAACAACTCTCACTCTCTCTCTCTCTCTCTCTCTGCTTTTCGCTTTCCTCTCTCTGACTGGAGCAGTTGTTCAGGTATAGTTCACTTTTTGCCCTTCATCTTTTCATTGGAAGACCGGTCTCAAAAGTATTAAGGGCGAATGTCTGTCTCACGTCAGTTGGGTTTTTGATTCGGAGAATTGACTCATAAATCTTAAAACGTTAATTATAATTTAATTAATTTTATATTTAATTTTATACATTTAAAGGTCTTATTATTTGGGATGGATAGTTTTACCCATTAACTTACTATTTTGAATTTAGTGACATTATCTTTGAATGATATGAGTGTATGTAACGTTTGAGAAAAATTTACTATAATTTTTTATAATGTGAGTGTATGTAACGTTTGGAAAAAGCTTACTATAGTTTTTTTATGATGTGAGTGTATGTAACGTTTGTATGTAACGTTTGGGAAAAACTTACTATACCTTTTTTATTATGTGGGTGTATGTAACTGTAGACGCGCTCGAACGTCCCGGAAGAAATCCCGTTTTGTTCATCGGGCTCACTACAGCTCGAACTCAATGTCACGGTTCTGAATCTAATCTCGCAAAGTGCAATGCGAGACTGATAAATCACCAAAGAGTCCAAATCCGGCAAATCGTTTTGAAAAATAGATTTTTAGAAAGAAGTGTCAAACATGGACTGCTTTGCCAGTTACACAGTCGCCACCTAAATATTTTATTTTGGGGGAATTTAGGAAACCCTGACTCGTGCCTAAGGCCACGTGTCCGTCATCACTAAAGTTCCTTCGGCTCAGGAACTTGGGTACGATTGGGGAAGGTCATTTCATGAGCACCCCCGCTCGCCCCATCGAAGATCGACCACTACTAAGCATGATATCTTGTTTTGGAAAACACATGTGCACTTATTCCGGTTATTAACCTAGAATTACTATGTGATGCGCACAGCATACAAGTATAAACTAGATTGCCTAAGTTGGAACAAAGCATCACATATCCGTTTGTTTTGAAAATGGATTGAAGTTTGCTACTCGCAAGTAGGCTAAAACACGGGTTTTGACGAATTATTCCAATTCAAGCAACTCAACCTTCACTCACAGGCATTTAGGCAGTTATATCACATAAGTAGTTAGCCTCATGGCAAGCATGTTATTATGGCAGTCACTCACACGCATGCAAGGATGCTAAAGCATAAACACTTACCAAGTACTCCGAACCAAAGAAAGAAGCTAATTAGAAAACATGCATGAATCCTAACTATGCTGAGATACCTAATGCAGCACATGCGAGAATGCAACTAAGATAGGCTCGGCTATTCTAAGATGGTATATGAGATGCTACAGGTGACATGTATTCAACTTGAAATTGAAATACGATGCAGTTAGCATGATGCGCTGAGCCCGGTACATGCAAAACAGATGAATGGATACAAACATACGAGCATAAGGATGCTAATTGAAACGTGCGCTAAAACTAACCATTATAAGCTGGTAAATAAAAGGGAGAAAGACGTAGAGTTGGAAGACATACATCACACACACGCACACTTATTACAAAGTTCGCCCTCTTGCGGAGGGTCCGAATAAATAATATAGAATCGAATTAACTAGTTATTACACAACACTAGCTAATTAACAAATTAACTAAACTAGTATGCAAACTATGTAAAATGGGCTGCCTCAACTCTGTTTTGAATGATAAAGGATGCATGCATGCTCGAGTCGCCTTGTCAGGAAATCCATCGCGATGCCCCGGCTCGCCTTTATTTGCAATTGATTACAGAAACTTGCACAAAGCTCCAGAAGGCTGAAACTACACCCTGGGAACCCATGGGAAGGCTGCCGACCAGCTCATGGCCTTGGAGACCCCTTACCGACCACCTTTTGTGGGAGAAACCCAAAAGGGTGGTCGGCCGACCAGTTTTTGCCCCTGGTTTCTGATTTTTCTGCAACCAAGGCAAGAGAGAGAGAAGGTAAGGTATTTTCAACATATGTGTGCCCGACCACTCTCCCCTGTCATTACATAAGCTCTAGGGAGTGTAGTCCTCGATCCTCGTGCCATCAATCACGCATCTCGATGCATGATGGCCGAGGAGTCGAATAACATGACTCAATGTGAAATGAATGCACATGTAAACACCTAAAGCCAACAACTCTATCATGGATAGTCAAGAGTGTCGGTGATCAAGAATCGAGACACTTTTCGTCACTTTGAATACGAAACGCCCCTCGTTTCCCGTGTTTAGACTAAACCCTACTCCAAACACAATGCAACAAACAATGTAAATGCAATGCAACTAAGTGATGCGAAGATGCACGGAATGACATGCAAGCATGCAAATGGCATACACAATGCTATGAACTAATCAATGGCATACTCATGCATATACAATGCACTAACATACGCGATGTTATTAACGAGGCATACGCAATGCAATGATCAAACATGCGATAACATGGACTATAGGGCATACACAATGCAAGATGGACTTAAACTAAGATGGATGGATCTTGGCCACACCCAAATCAGTGGCTAATATGATGAGAATGAGGCAGCAAGGTACATGCAAACATGCACAATTGCAAGGGACCAAACCTAAGGAACAAAGTGCAACTCTACCAAAACATGACAAGGATGAAATATGGCATACAATGACACATGTTCCAGCTCTGAAATGACATACAAGATGGTCCCGAATCATGCAAACAACTCACCCGATGCATGTTGGATGGCACAATTACCGAAACTAGTGAAGTGCATTACACTAGAGGTATGCAAAGCGATGTCCAAAACACTAAACCAACCCCAAACAGTCCCTATGCAGACCCAAAATAGTGGCAAAATGAACTAAAATGATGGCTTGCAATGCACAAAAATGAAGCTCATGCAATAGCCCAAAAATGAGGCATACAAGCACAACTCTCAAACGCATTTAAAGAGTGGAAAACATGGGAATATGGCACAAGTATAAGCTCTGAAATAACATGTTCAATGATGCCAAAACATGAAAACAACTCAAGTTAAGCATGCAAGAGGCTTCAAAACTCGAAGCTAGGCAAGGGTATTACACTACAAAGCATGCATGGAAAGCATCATTCGACCATGGGACCTCAAAACAGAGCTAAGGCAGCCCAAATCATGAATAAAATCAGTTTAGAACATGGCCAAAATATGCTAGAATCAAGGGCCAAAATGAAATGCAATGTGAGCTAGTGAACATGGATTACACTACAAGCATATGAAGCATTCAAGAGGCCACTAAACCAGCAAAAGTCAGAGACATGACATGCCAAATAAAGCCCAAAAACCTACTGAAACATGATCAATGCATGCACGAATGTCATGCTCCTTTGATAGGCTATAAGAGGGGTTATTTTACACATGCAAGAGACACACCCAAGGTGACAAAAACAACTTTGGACAGAGCCTAGGTAGGCCCTAAAAGTCACTAAAAAGGGCCTGAAACAAGGCTTGGAGGTGCGCAAATGAAGGTTCCTTTGTAAGGCCAAAAATGCTAGTGAACAAGATAAGGAGGGAGAGGGTCATCCCTCTCTGATTTTGGCTCTCAAAAACACATGTTAACCACTGAAAATCCGCTGAATTTCAGTGGTTAAAAGGCCAAGCAAAGGTCAACACAAAGGCCTTAGGGCATGGCTCAAAACAAGGCAAAATGAAGCATGCAAGGGGGTAGATGACCCCCAACAACAAAATGACTTTAACAAACATCAAAAGGACCTCAAAATAAGACTTTTTTCAGTTGACAACAAAGCTCAAATATGCATGAAAATAAGGCTAAGAGATGGATCAAAATAAAGCTTAAAAGAGGGAAAAAGTGTGTTACCCTTGAAGCTCAGCAAGACAGCAACTTCTGGAGCCCAAAACCAACTCTTTGAGACCTCTCAAGACCCTCCAAGAACCTTAGAACAATGGTGGAGATGTGTGGCTATGAGGTGTGGTGTAATAGGTCAAGAACAAGACCCTTTTGAACCCAAAATATAGAGATATAGATAGAGATATATATTTTGCCTTCCAAGAAGCTCTTAACCTGTGCCAAGGAAGAGAAGGGCCTCTCTTATAGAGATACAAGGCCAAAGCTTCCACAAGAAGCTAAAAACCAAGGCTCAAGATCCTCCATACACGTGTATGGAGGATACAAACTGGGTCTTCCAGCTGGCACAGCTGGCACACACTCACACAGACAAAACAGGAAGGAGTAGGCCGACCAGTTCAGGTGGTCGGCCGACCACTTCCCCTGGTCGGCCGACCAGTTCAAAAGGTTCAACACAAAAAAATTTGGTCGGTCAGCCCATTTGATGGTCTCCCAACTGAATGCAAGGTAGTGGTATGGTAGGAGACCAGTAAATGTGGCTCAAAGACCAAGGAGACCAGCTTCTTGACAAGAAAATCGGCTGGCGGGAGAAACGTGGTCTCCAAGGAGAAAAGGTGGTCTCCCACCCTTGTACCACCTCCCAAAAAATGAAAACAAGGTCCATGCCAAAAATGAACCAAGACGGATGCAAAACGAGAGTTCGGGGGTCAAAATGCGCAGCTGGGTGCCCCGAAAACAGATTGTTAAGCATCGAAAGTGGCGTGCGACCACAAAGGTGGTCTCCCGGGCCACAGTGTCCCTCTAGAGAGAGGAAACAAGGTGTGTGCCAAAAATCATGCCAAACGGAGAAGGTTAAGCGGTCCCGAATCGAGGCGCGCAGCCGACGGCTCCGAAATCGAAACTGGTCTCCAAACGGGAACAGTGGCCTGTGACCACGAAAATTAGCCTACGAGCCACTGAGAGATGGTCTACGAGACCTCTCCCTCCCTTCGGGAAGAGAAAACAAGACCTGGTTCGCAAACCGAGGCAAAGCACAAAAGGGTCCCAAGGTCTAGGGGTAAGGCTCTCAGCCAAAATTTCAAAACCTCAGAACGAGCACAACATGCACCATCACCGAGTGCTCAATCGATGACGTCTAAGTCTTAAGGTCGGTCAAAAATGGGGTGTCTACAGTAACGTTTGGGAAAAGCTTACTAAAGTCCACATTTATGATGTGGGTGTATGTAACGTTTGGGAAAAGCTTATTATAGCTTTTTT